AAAGGTACAAGAATATGTTTGCAATTTGGTTTTGAATTACTGGTTAAAAATAGAAATAAAAGCAAGTATAAAATGTATAGTTTAAACCTAAAAAAATTGGGGTAAAAATGTTGCCATTTTAAATACTATATTGGGAAGGTCAGCAGGGGAGGGTGATTTCTATTTTGATATCTGCAGCTTTTACACTTTATTATTATTAATAAAAGTAGTAGTATTGCTATTTAAAGAATGTAAGAACCATTTGTTGTCAAATTTGACTTTCATTTGACTATAGGGCCTTTCTAACACAGTTGAAATGTAAAATTTAGTTTGCATATTGTTGTGCCGTATCAGAATCAGAATCAGAATCAGAATGAGCTTTATTGCCAGGTATGTTTACACATACGAGGAATTTGTTTTCGTGACAGAAGCTCCACAGTGCAACAGAATGACAGTGACAGAACAAAAAACACAGATAAAAAGTAAAAAAAAATCCAGATTGTTGAGACTGCACCTTAGCCAGCTCTTGCTGTATTGCAAGTTTGGTCATAGTGTTTCTTAAGACGATGAGCAGAGGCGGACAGTAACTAAGTACATTTACTTGAGTATTGTACTTAAGTACACTTTTTGAGTATCTGTGGTTTTTAACATTCTAAAAGCTCTTTATTCCAAAGATACTACAAGCTAGTAGGTGTAATGTATTGTAAGTTGCTTCAGAAGTATTGCAAGTATTACGTACAACAATAAAACAGTGCATTGACATAAAAAAGGAAATTGACTTTTGGTACTTGAGTACTTTTAAAAGCAAGTACTTCTGTACTTTTACTTAAGTAAAAATCTGTCTTTACAACTTTTACTTGTAATGGAGTAATATTTGACCAGCAGTATCTGTACTTTCACTCGAGTAATGGAGTTGAGTACTTTGTCCGCCTCTGACGATGAGTGTGTGATTGGTGAACATTGCCTGTGCAAGTGTAACATTGATATAATCAGCTTATGCAGAAGTGAAGTTTATGACTGTGTGTTCTCCTTTAACCTCTAGTTAATCACCAACATTAACCTCTAGTTAATCACCAACACCAATAGCAATGTTCAGAGTGACACCAGACAGTCCCTTTAGTGGCATTTCGATGTATAATTATAGAAATGAAGAATTCATTTCAATAACTTTGTCTTTGTTACAGTTTTAATCATAGCATGATTCCAAGCATTTTTGGAAAGCATGCAAGAACAAATGGGGGGGAGGATTTCTTTCCCTTGTAGAAATGTTACTTTTATCTGTACAGGAGAACCCTGTCTTTACTGCCAGCCTAAACCAGAGGAAATCAATATTTTATTGTCTCTCCACCACATGGGCCAAGATAGAAACATTAATAAATGATGAATTGGCAGCTAGTATGACAACAACTCTTTGGAGGCAGTCAGCTCAGGTCAGGCACTGCCATAGCTTTTGTACTGCACAATGTCTAGTTTGACTCATTTATCAGTATTATTATAATGTTTGTGTTTTAACATAAGTCTGTTTTCCATAGCCCTTTAATTCACTTGACTGTGTGCACAACAAATGATCATCTTAAGTGTTAAAACAGATTTACCAGGGTTGGCATATCATAAAAGCTAAACAAACAAAATGTTAAAAATAATATGCATAATGGTGCATTTGTAGTGTATTTACAGAGCAGAGATATGTAGGTCATTCTGGATGTGTGTAGGCACCGATTCATTTTTTCTTAGTTTTGCAGTTCAGATGAAAGCCCATGTACGTGGCGCCACCGCACGGTTAAAATAAAAACAGCAATTTGCCGAGTACTGTAGTGTATTGGAATTCACTGGAAAATAATGCTGATAGATCCTTGTCTGACAATATGATTACCGTACCTGAGAATGTTTTATTCCTGATAATACTTCGGCAGTCATGTCGTGTGCTTTCTATCCGATGTCTAGAATCAAAACTAACGATGCCAGATTCGAGAATTGATCGTTGTAATTCAGTCATTCTTGAGAAGTGGGACAAAGCAGGGTGCAAAATTGAAAAAAATAAAACCTTGTACTCAGACAAATGAAACTACATTTATGTATCTTGTATGTACTAAGCTACTGAGCTATGCTTTGATACAACCTCCCAACTTTTCTCTTTTTTAACAAAATGTGCTTTTTTACCTCAGACTGTGTAATATACTTTCAACTTTATCTTTAACAGCATTCAAGATGTTTTTAACATTTCAAAACACATCCTCGTGTTAGCAGACAGATTACACTTTCACATGTGACCAACAATTCCACAACAAATATAAAATATCATAATGAAATATTATCAAAATATTCAACTGACGGAGGTGACACATCTGACGGTGGTGACGAAAACCTGAATTTGTAGTCATTTTAACTATCAAATACATTGAATCAGTCAATTACTGTATTAAAACAAACACAACAAACAGAAAATCTTATGGTGGTGACATCTGATGGTGTTGACAAATTTGGCATTTCTTTCACAAAACCAATGGAGTTCATGTAGTAGCCATTTTATTATGTTCTGTTGATGCTAGATGCTAATGGAACCTGCTTCAGGAAAATAAAATGATCTAAATATTTCAAATAATGTCCTCAGAAATTGGAAGATGGTGTTGACATATCATGGTTGTGACACCCCTGTTGAAAAAAACAGCATATGCTGGTTAGGTATGTTTTGACGCTGGGGTGGTGGTTTAAGCTGGTCCTTTGCTGGTTTATGCTGGTCCTTTG